CTTCTGTAAGCCTCCTCTACAGTGATGTCTGGAATCGGACCTTCGATGGGTAGAGCGTCAAAGTTAACATTGATGGGATTTGTTTCGTTTAACTGACGGTTTAAGTATTCTCTCCACTGTAGCTTGATCTCATCTTGTTCAAGAACCATCTCATCTTTGTCATTTTTGATACATGAGGCACCAATTATGTCTTTTTTCGTACGCTTTGCTTGTTTTGCTTTGCTATTTCATTTGTTCATCTTTGCTTTTAGTGAGCCACTCTGTGCACTGATATGTCCGAACCAGTGCAACTTGACGTCTTGCATAGTTGTTCTTCTCATGGAAAATTTTATGGCCATCAACAGACTTTGATTTTTCCATCGGGTTTCCTGAAGGCAGCAGCTGTCAATCCTCCTACGCTCGAGCATTTCTGCGATTTCCATGCTGCAGCCAGTCAGTGATCCACATTGAGTGTTCCAAGTTTAAGTACCATAGAGGGCCATTCTGAATTTTTCTGCAACATCCCTCCGCTATTGCATACTTCCCAGGGATTCTTGTCACCACTTGACCACTTAAAGCCTGTTGGGGACTAGGGGCCGTTGTTTTTCTTTGTGATGAGTAATTTGGGAAAAAGTTTTTACATCCGGACACCCATCCTGACGTTAACCACCAGTTATAAGCTCAAAAGCACGCAAGGCAGCGTGGATGTAGTTTTCTATCATGCCCAGGACCAACCTAAATAACTAGTAACCTTTTAGATAAAAATAACCAAACTTTATATAACAATCAACAACACCGCAACCTAAAAAATGATCGAATCTGAAAAACCTTCCAACGAATTACAACACTTCCAACTCGAAGAATTAACAACAGTTATGTTAATCGGGTCCGCCAGCAATCTAACATTAATAATGTTACAGACTAGAAATTGTTAAGCATGCGTTAAGGAATGAACAGCTTGTAAATTAATAAGAGGTTGGCTCTAAATTTAAATAAAATGGATACAATTGATCATCTAATTTGGCGTAAAAAATTGATGGCAAAGAAAACAACGTTTTACCTTGCGTAACTGGGTCTCTGGACGCTAAACGAAAATTGATTGATTTTTGTATTATTGTTAGTTGCAATGTTGTTATTGTTGTTACTGATTTCCTGTTCTTTGCGTTCTATTATTTTCTATATCATGGAATTTTGTATCCATTATTAGTGAGTAATTTAGTGACTATCTATTTTTCAGTTCGCGTCTTCAAATTTCCTATATAGGACCGACTACTACTTACTACTATCGCGTAGACTAACTATTCGCAAAAGAGACGGTGCAATTAAAAATCACAGAAACTTTTCACAACACCTTAATAACTAGGAACCTTTTAGATAACAATAAGTGAGGGATGAACAGCTTGTAAATTAATAAAAGGGTTGGCTGTAAAGTAATTAAAGGGTTAGTAAATTCATTTATGGTCTCTAAATTACTCACTAATTTTATTTCAGAGTTTTTTTTGTATAAACGGTGTTACATCAGCCGAATGTATTTATGATATGGCTTGTGCATCATGCTCTGGACAGGCACTATAAAATGAACCAGATATATTAATGAAGCAAATGATATAAACAAAAATAATTATAATGAGAACACCTTTTTATTTTCATCGTAAAAACGTACATGGAATGAAAAAAGAAAAAAACAATAATTGTCAATGATAATCAAAATTAAAATATATATGTATATAGTAAAATGTCTTGAAATAATCTCCGAAGCTCTTCATCTTATAAAAAGGATGTGTACAACGAGAGAAGGTTAGTCCTAAATGGTTCATTCAATTTGCATTTCTATCACAATAAACACTATATGACGACGAAATTGCTGCATAAATAAGATTGTCGATAAAATCATCAGTCCATATTAAATTAATAAGAGAAAAGTATTAAAAAAACCTAAAGGGGATATTTCAAATGCATTAATTGTAACGTTAGAGTGTTTATAATTATTGGTCAAATTATTTTGCAAATTATGGGGTATTTCGCCATTTTATAGTCCTTTGATTTCGGAAAGTTTGTTTCGTGGCAAACCGTGAGTTCCAGGATTTCAATGTTGTTATCGCAAAGTAGTGCGATGTCAGGACGTAGCGTCTTGAAGAGCCAGGATAGTGGCTGATACTTATCTTGATCCGTGTCTGCATATATGGAGACATCAGGGCCTGCGCATGATTTCAACCTGTCTAATATTATTGAAAGAATTTTGTTGTGACATGTTGTAAATCGCTTCAGTGCCGACGCCGCACCACAATTTGATAAAACGTGTTTGTTTGTTTGTTTGTTTGGTAAGCGCTGCATAGAGGACATTGTGCAGTGGATGATTTTCCCCATCTTTGAAGGTTGGCGTTTGTCGGAAGTTGTTGGATTAAACTTTTTCTGACAGAACTTCCGGAAGACATACGTACCTCGACCAACGATCTATGCGAACAGCTGGGATGTGTGCTTGAATTGATTTTAAAATTGTTCCTTGACATTGAAGGGATGTCAGATGATTCAAAACTGCGGTTTGTTGTTGTTCTTTTATTGCTTTAAGCGTCGGTTTGATGTCGTTGGCGTCAGGAAGCATATTGTCGATTTTAATGAAGTCGTTCAACGATTCGCTCCACAGACATTTTAGTTTCTCATTTCCATTGGCTATTTAAAAACTAGTTACGAAGTTTGATCCTCAAGGACTCGGCGTAATGCTTGAGAGATCTAACATTTAATCCACCCAGTTTGAAGGGGAGTGTTACCGATTAGCAATTTCTTGGCTTCTGTGCCCTTTCCTTCAGTCGTATATTTTTCCCAGGTATATGAAGTGCCCCCCTTGTATTTCGACTTGAGGAATAGTTCCATCGTCTATGGTCAGCTTTGGCAGGAACTGTTCGTAAACACCTTTTTTTTCCTCATGCCGAATGATGAGCATTTATCTAATCTTATTTCCATACCAGTTTTGATACCAGCCTGGTTGATGTCGATCAACTTTTGAGCACTTTCCGTGCTGTTAGCAATAATTGCCGTATCATCTGCAAACTGCATCCACGCTCTCGTTTTCAAGTTGGCTGTGGGTCCCCAAATGTAGCCGCATTGTTGATATTCAGGCTTTTCCAGTATTTTCATTAAAAGATTGAAGCACAAATTGAACAGCAGAGGCGAAAGAGGGTCCCCTTGGAGCACGCCACGTTTGACCCGTAAGTTTCTCGCAACCAGAAACTGATATGGTGTAGTCGGCGTATGTGAATTTTATTAAATCAGCGATCATTGGCGGTATATGATGATGGTCTAAGATGGATGTGATTAGATCGTGGCTGACCTCACCGAAAGCGTTTTTAAGATCCAACAAAATGACGATTATTGTTCTTTGATGTCTTTTAGCGTCATTGATCATGTGTGATAAAAGCTGGGTATGTTCGGTCAGTCCGTCGACCTTCGGATAAAAACCTTTTTGGATGTTTTTATTGATGAGGTTGTTTGATTCTAAAAAGTTGTACATTTTGTTGTTAATGCAGGATGAAAGTATTTTATAGAGCGTAGGTTGAAGTGTTATGGGTCGGAAGTTGGCCGGATCATGTGCGTCACTTTTTTTGTGAATAAGCAATGTGAAACCTTTCTTCCAGCATGATGGGATTCTAGAGGACAACCAACATTGCGTAAACAATTAAGAAGAAAGGTGCGCAATATAGGACATCTTTTAAATGGAATAATTGAGATCTGATCTAGCGGACATGGTGATGATTTTGATCTGTATTTGCGGATTATTGTAGATATTTCGTGGTAGGTAGGAGGATTGACGTTGCAGGGCGTTGTGGGCGCTGGTGCGTTTTGTGCCCAATTAGGGAGTTGATATTTCTTTTTGTTGATGCTGTTTAGAATATTGAAGAAATATTTTTCACAATCGATCGAGCTGAATAGTGGTGTCATGTTTTTTGTTGTTGCAAATATTTTCTTGCTTGCCCACCAGAATCGTTGTTTTAGTTGAAGGGTGATTGTGGATTTTTTCCCTTTATGTTTAGAAAGTTTTGGGTAGTTTGACGTTAGGTAGTGTTGACACGGTCGTCGCGACGGTTGGTGACGGCAGCGATTGTTGGCGGTTTGTTGATGTGGTTTGGCTGTCAGGCAGTGGCGTTGTGCTACCTTCGTTTTCTGAGGTTTTTTTCGAGATTTGCAAAGTTTTATGCATTTTGCATGATTTTTGATGCATAATTAAGCCTTTCCTCCCCTTACAACGTTTACCGCAGCAACACGATATTAAGTTATTATTATTTTCAATGTTAATTGCACCAGTATCAACAGAATTAGAGTTGTAAATATTTGCTGAAATTTTAACGTTAGATTTGACAGCAGAGCGAACAACTTTGTTAGTATTAGAGTTACCTGTATTCATAGTACAACGCCAGGAATGTCGACCTACGTTGATAAATGTTATACTGCAATACGGACATTTATTAGTATTAGTACTGTAAATGCCGTTAATTAAAAAAACTAAATTTAAATATAAAACTATGTAAATTTTAATTTTTAAAAGTATCGCCATATTTCTTACAATTTTACAAAACCAATGAACCAGTTTTAAAACTAATTAAACGATAAAATAATCGAGTTATGTGCAAGAAACAGTGAGTTGAACAAAGTTGGTCAACTCTCTTGCCTACCTGCACATAATAATAATAATAATAATGACAATGATAATGACAACAACAATAATAATAATTTGAATTAATTTTGCGCCTCACAATTTTGGCGTTGTTGCTGCTTTGACAACTATCGTTCAAACTTTTTAAATTATTGTTAAAATTTTTCATTTGAATTTCTTGTTTTTTTTCGAATTTATACGTATATATTTTTAATTAAATTAAAACTATAACAATTTTTATTAAATAAATGCACTGACGGTATATCGTCGAAATAGATCTTAGATTTTATCTGTGGCATCTGACGCATCCACAAAAACATTTAAATTAAAAAATATATGAACAATTTAAAAAAATTCTGCACACATTTTGCCTTTATGAATAAATAAATAAATAAATTAAAACGCAATATCTTACAACAAAAATAGATTGATCAGATGGGTTTCTTTTAACCACAAAATATGGTTTCTTTCTTCCAGGAATCAAAGCTCTTTGTCCGATTGTCCAAAACTGAACTCCTAAAATATGGGTAAAAAATAAGAATTGAAATTTAAAACATGAAATGTACCTTATAGTAAACACTTTCACTTTTTTTGATTGAGTGATTAAAATATTGCCATGAAAAAAAAGAAAAAATATCACCATCCATCAAAGTTTACTAAATGAGCAATAAATAAAATGTACAAAAAGGTTAGGTAATTTCTGCTGCTATAAAATAGAGATACATATTTTTTTTTTTATAATGAGAACGTTTGCTTTCTTATAATGGCTGGTTATGTGGCAATGTGGATGAAGGCCAAGCAACGAACGAACAAAGCGATTTTGAGTTACTATAATTGGAACGGATTCAAAGACTGTAATAACCAGAGGTGGTGATGAGATTAAGCTCTCATCACAATTAAAACACACACATGGCGTGCGTCTCAAATAGTTTCTGACAGTCCAACTCCTGGCTTTCTCGTGGCGAAACTGTTTAAATTAACAAGAGAAAGGGCGAAGGCGGATAACTAATGCCTAAAAATTAGTCGCTTCGGGTTGTTACTCACCCATCTGAAAATGAGCTCTCCTCGTGGGATTCATTTTGCGATGCAATGACCAAGATGACTGATCATATGATCTTGGTCATGCTGTTCCAATGCGTCATGAATGAATCTCAACCGCAATAAGGCGACTGATCGAAACGAAACAGTGGCAGTTGGGTGGTGATGTTAGAGTCTAGTCATTTAGAAAACGATCCAGACTAATTCAGCAAAACTTCTTTATAGATGAATATCTTTGCTTCTGTAATGACATCAGTAGATTCTGTTGATCTAGAAATACAATATGATTCATCTCAGTGAAATTTTTTATTGACGCACACTCAACAGCATCAAAGCAGCATTACTTTATACCGGCATTACTCCATTCCCATAGCATATTCGTTAACCCTGAGAAAATTATGTGAATATATCACTTATTCTTGACAGAATTATGGTCCTGGGCATGACAAAAAACTGCATCCACGCTGCCTTGCGTGCTTTTGAGCAAAAGGCTAGGCCACCCGCTTAAAACTGGTGGTTGTCGTCAGGATGGGTATCCGGATTTAAAAACTTTTCCCCAAATTATTCCATGCCATCACAAACAAAACCAACGGCCCCTAGTCCCCAGCAGGCCATAAGTGGTCAAGGGGTGCCAAGTACATACATCCAGGGATAGTATGCAAGTATGATATAGCGGAGGGATGTTGCAGAAAAATTCAGAATGGCCCCTCTATGGTACTTAGACTTGGAACGCTCAATGTTGGATCACTGACTGGCCGCACCATGGAAATCGCAAAAATACTCGAGCATAAAAATATTGACATCTGCTGCCTTCAGGAGACCCGATGGAAATCGAATGGTAACTGTCATGTCAACTCAGACAAAGAAAAATATAAACTATTCTGGAATGGTCAAAAGACGGCCAAAAATGGTGTTGGAATTTTTGTCAGAGAACCGCTCGCCCAATAAGTACTGGATATTAAAAGGATTTATTCACGTCTCATGTGGATCAAGCTTCGCCTAGAAAAGCAAACAACAATTATTTTTTTCTGCCAGGCAGGCGAATCAGAAGAGATGAAAAATGACTTCTGGGCTGCGTTCTTTGACACCATCTCAACAATACCAAAACGTGAAACAATCCTGATTGGAGGCGGTCTCAATGGCCACATTGGAGAGAAAACAGATGGTTTTGACAACGTACATGGCGGTTTTGGCTATGGAGAACGGAATAAAGATGGCAACCGCATCCTTGAGTTTGCTGCAAGTCACGGGTTTTGTTTATCTCACAACATACAAAAGTGGACGCAAATTGATTTCTTCGCTGTCAAGCAACAACACCGAAGGCTATTCAAAAATGTCAAAATTATACCTAGCGAATCACGTATTGCACAACATAGACTCCTTGTGGCAGACCTGGTTAGTCTAAACATATGTCTCGGAGAATCAAAATGTGAAAGCTGAAAAGCAATATTCATCGAGAAAAATTTCAACAGATTGTCGCAACACAGTTATACTAACAATCGCAAGCCAGTAGAGACTGGAGTACATACAAAACGCTGCAACTACAGTTTGTGGGAAAATTGGTACAAAACTTCAGCATGAACGGGACACTTGGTGGTAGAATGACAGTGTACAAAATGCAATAGCCGAAGAGAAAGCTGCATACAAGCAATGGCAAAAATCAAAGTCTGTCGATGACCATAAAATTTTCCGTGAGAAGAACAACTATGCAAGACGTCAAGTCGCACTGGCTCGGACAGATCAGTGCAGAGAATGGCTCACTAAAAGCAAAGATGAACAAATGAAATCTCTGTATCGTATAGCAAAACAAGCAAAGCGTACGAAAAAAGACATAGTAGCATGACATTCCGCTATACAAAGGCAAAGGTGATCCATTGAACTGTTTATCATAGCGGAGTATACGTCTGTTAGAACACTCCCTGAAAATTGTCAAGAAATTCATTGAGAGAAGATTAACGTCGTGCGTCACAATCGGAAATTATCAATTTGGTTCCCTAGCGGGGAAATCAACAAATGATGCAATTTATATCCTTCGTCAACTGCAAGAGAAGTACCTCGTAAAGCATCAACAACTATCACACATTTTTGTAGACCTTGAAAAAGCATTTGATAGAGTTCCCCGTAAAGCAATCACAAAACCGATACGCACTGGTGACATTTGGAATCTAACATATGCTGATGATATCATTTTTAACATCTGAGCAGAATTCAGCACAGATGTTTGAAGATTGGAATACCAGACTGGCCGATCATGGATTTAAAGTCAACATTAGCAAAACCAAAGCAATGAACACTGGTGAACCCATCCAATCCACCGTTATTGGACGATGGCCCTGTTCAGTTTGTAGAGCTGGTGTAGGTAACAATTCAATCAAGTGTCAGCAGTGGTGTGACAAACGTTGTTCAAAAATAATTGGTATATCTAAAGTGTCTAATTTTGTTTGTCCAGCTTGCATTAATACGCAACAACAAATTTGAAATAGCACTGTTTTTGAAGCCATTAAGGTAGAGAAAATCACATTGTTTCAATATCTAGGGGATGTTCCACATTGTACTGGCACAGCTGAAGCTGCCGTTCGAGCAAGCATACTTGCAGCCTCGAATAAATGGCATCTTCTTGCCTCTATGTTGATGCGGCGTGACATCCCACTACTACTACTACTATCAAGACTTTATAAATCTGTGATACGTCCGGTGTTGTTATATGGTGCAGGAACATGGCCAATGACAACCACACTGGAACAACAACTTCATCGAACCGACATGAAAATGCTCCGATGGATGCAACAAATTAGTCTAAAGGACCACATCAAATCTACCAAAATCCTGCGTTGTGCTGGTTTAGATGATATAAAGGTCGAATGCCGACAACACCGTCTGCGGTGGTTTGGTCATGTCAAACAAAGTGGAAACAGTGCCATAACTTCTCTTCCAGATGTTGAAATACCTGGCACACGTCCCAAAGGCCATTCAAAGAAGTCCTGGTCGCAAAGAATCGAGCAAGACATGAAAGCTCTAAATTTAAATGAAATGATTACAACTGATCGTCTAATTTGGCCCCAAAATTGATGGCAAAAAAAACAACGGGAAACTTGGTCTCTGGACGCTAAACGAAGATTGATTGATTGATTTCTTGACAGAAATAAATACAGAGATCACCGTTGGTTCAGATGTGCTAATTTATAAATTGTGGCTATTCTAAATGAATTACAGGCTGGTTTAACCAAGTTTATTTATTTCCGCTACAAATGGGATTGAAGGATGAAATCTGAACATTATACGAAGAAATCTTGGCCAGAACGAGAAACATTCCAAGTTGGTTCGCATAACGTCATTCACGAACCTTTTGTGGAGAAAGAGAAGATCATCTTGCCAAATCTTCACATCATGAAGCAGTTAGTTACAGCGTTAGATCACCACAAACCAGCATTTCGGTATTTACAGACCAAATTTCCAAAAATCAGTGATGCTCAAATACGACAACTGATGTTGGATGAAAAGTTTTCTGGAACTATGGATCAATATGAATTTGCAGCTTGGGATGCATTCAAGCAGGTGTGACAGGAATTTTTTTGAAAACATAAAGCATCAAATTCTGCTGATTTGGTAGACGGACTATCAACAATTAGATTGTAATATGTCTTTGAACTTCAGCATTCCCATCTTTCCTTCTTCTCTGATAATCAGACGAAAATGGTGAGCGTTTTCATCAGACTATTGCTACAATGGAACAGATACAAAGGAAAGTAACCTTGTTATACTTGGAATATGAAGCGACCCGACGCAGCATACAAATGCCAGACTAAACATAAAATTAATTACAAATAACCAATTTGAGTTATAAGTGATAATAAATATTCTATGCATGTTCATAAACGTTCCATTATTAAATCGTTATTACAATAAAATGTGAGTATAGATTCAGAATCAGTCCATCTGATTTAATAATTTCCTATTTGATTGTTGTTGTTTTTTCATACAAAGTAAAACAAAATCTAAGCAGTAATTCTATAATTCAATTTTATAATAGCTTTTGCTGTTTATTCTATAATTCAATTTTATAATAGCTTTTTAATAATCAATGTCATTTTCGTCTTTGTGAACAACTTTCTCGTGTTTTTCAGTGTTCTTGAATGCGGTAAACAGCGTCATTTAATCGGGAAATGACTCGGTATACCCCTTACTAATCTTGTTGAAGCTTTAGAGACCGTCCTTTCTTTCTATGGAAGTTGTATAACAAGACCAAGTCATTGCTTTTTAAACCGGCATTATTCCTTTCGAATCATACCGGGTTTTAGTTTTTTTTCTTACGTGCTTTTTCTTATGTCTAAGGTCGTCTACGTAGTTCGTTGTCAGTTTTGAGATCCCGAGTGGGGTGACATTATAAGTCCGCCAGGGTCCTTAGGGTCATACCAAAAATTGCTTTTGATGGAGTTACCCCGGTAATAGTGTGACTGACACTTAGAAAGACCATGAAAAATAGTGAAATTTGTTGATTTGTTTTCACTTACCACCTTAGCCACTTGATTCAATGAGTGTTTGGCTAAAAAGCTCTACCATGCAATCGGACTATATATGGAGGGGTGTCTGTTTTAGTTTTATTTAAACCAAGTATTTAGCATAATTCAAGAGCTTAATTTGAAGTTTCGTCTTTAGCCAGAGGATAACTTCAAGGCACACCATAGCGACAAATCCAATTCAAGGCAATCTCTTCAGCGACGGTGCGAGCTCCGTGATTGGATATATTGGGTAAATAAATTTTGTAAATAAAATTTAAAATATCTGTAACAATTATATATAAAATGGAAAAAACGATTAAAAAGGTTTTACATAAAAAGTTAAAAATTAAAATAATTTTATTTACATAAATTTTTTTTAGGCAAATTTCTAAAATATCTTAAAAACTAATGTAAAATTTAGAAGTTACCATGATGTTCGCCTATGATTTTATTGTCATCAAAATCTATGAAATAACCTTTTTTAGCTGGCAAATACTGGTGAAAATAATAATTATTTAATTTAAAATAAATGAAGCGACATTAGAAAAATAAACTAAATGTTTATTCAATTATATTTTTGAACTTGAACTTCAAGGTTAGGACTAGAAATAATGAAAAATGGCCAAATCTAATGTTTGCGCAAATACTTCTGAAATCTTGGTTCCAAAGTACATGTTTGAAATTGAAAAGCAAAAAACGCGGGTCACATAAAATGAATTTTTAAGTCTATGATTTAGGGGCTACCATCCATATAATAACATCTTTGTATACAAAGGTAGGAACTGAAAATATTATTTTCCTTTTTTTCTAAATGTAGGTTAGTTCTTGGTTTATTAAACGAAAGAATTATAAAACGCACCTGCACCCGTGTGTGCAACATGGCGTGCATTTTTGTCTCGTAAATTAATTAATTCAACCAAACGGCTAAAACAATATCAACAGTTTTTATTTTATATTTCTTACATGACTTATCTCAAAATAAATTTACAATTTTTAAATTATAACAACTAAATAGTTTTTTACTTTCAAGTCAATTGAACTACGACTAAAACGATCTTTAAATTGAACTTCAATTACAATTATATAAATAATTTTAAATTAACGAGTTTATAAATCTAAATAATCGTTGGTTTTGCTAACTCGATAAATTCTCATTTACCATGGTTTGAACACGTTGCGCACGTTTCAACATGCACTTTCGTCGGTCGGAGTCCGCCCTCGACTTTCGACTCGATCCTAACTGACGTATTGCTTATAACTTCATAACTACATCGTTATCGTCGTCAGAGGTGTCAGAAAAACATTTTTTAAAAAGGTTAAATATATAGCAACCTAAATCCTATCCATAAAAATTGACGACACATCAATCAATCAACAGAAAACAATACATCAGTTTTGGTCAACTAAATCTCAATCTGCGGCAAAACAGTTCCAATTCATTATTCAATGCGTGATCATCATCTTGATGCCGTAACGCCTGGCACTGCTATTGCATTGACCGGACTAAGAAATCCCAGCCTATCACATGCATTGTCTGTGATGCATTGTTTCTTTTGTATTTAAATGTACTGTATGTTTGTTGTCGATATCTCTAAAACATATTAAAGAGAAATGGAATAAATAAATATGCCTGGTCTGGATTCCATCAGATGTTCGTGATGTAAACAAACTGGACATTGCTCTTCCAAGTTTCTCCTTTATTATTAATATATTAACACGTCATGATAAAGGTGAGTGCACCAAAAATGCACCAAATTCACCCGAGCTCCTTTGACAGCCAGTCCACGGCGTGATGACTCAATGGTTATAGGCTGCTGCTGCAGTGACTGGGTTCGAATACAAAGAGAAGCCCGCCTATCGTATGCAATGTGTACGATGCGTGGTTTTCACGCGTATTCATATATGTGTGTTTGTCGTTGAAACCTCTGAAGCAAGCGCAAAAGAAAAACATTTACAATTACATCCAACTTTTTGCATGATTTCAAAAACTATTTCAACTTTTACTCTACACGTTACCATCAATTTTGAACTGCAAGAGGTCATTGATGAACTAAATCTGCTTCAATATATCACCACTTACTCATTGTATGAGTAACATCCTTGATCTTTTTATTATATCAAAACTACAGTCACAATTAAATTACATTCAGCTATATATTCTGAAATTTAATTGGTCCAATTTTGATAATGTTTTTCAATTCCTGAAACAAATCATTCAGTTTTTTAAATCCTTTAAACATAAGTGGCTGTCAAAACGGCATAACCGCGTTGTAATCATTACCTTCATGCAATCAATCAATCCAACCGGAGGAAGTAATGCGCAAAAATAAAAATAAATTTTGTTTCCGACTAATACTAATATATCCTGTGAGTACCCTTTTGCTTGATTCGCCGTTGTTTATTATTTCACATCCTATGTTTTTTCGGTAACTGATCAGTTACGAAACTGTTCTTTCTGGTTTCTTTGCCGCTTCAAATTGCTTCGCGTTACTTCCTCCGGTTAGATTGATAGACTGCATGAAAAAAATGATTACAATATGGTTATACCGTTTTGACAGCTACCTATGTTTAAAAGATTTAAAAAAACTAAATAAAAAACATTAAATGGGTTCTGGTGGCTGCGATTTTCGTACCAAATGTATTGATATTCGAAAACTCGATAGTAGTTAGTTTGCTCTCTATTAATGTTTAACAACAGTGATTTAAACATTTCATAGATCGTAAAGCCGAAGAATTCAAGCATTAGTTGCAGTTTCAGTGATCTAACCTGTATAATCTGCCTTACACCAACGTGTGCAAGTTCCACATTACCACTCGACTAAGATAAAATAATCGATAATCTGCAAAATTATAATTGTAAAATTGCACCTGATTGTAAGTAACTTTTCTATAGGTTTATAGCACTAAGGTTTTATTCAACTACTTTAAAGCAAAATTTTGAATAAAATAACTGATTAAGAACTCAATAAATTTACAAAATTTATAGTTTAACTTTAACATTATATATGTACTAAAACGTTATTAAAATGTATATAATTATAAAATAAAATCACTTCAAGCATGAATTTCTGAAAATTTCTTTTCCCGATAAAACATATTCCAGTACTCTGATAATTTATAAAATATTTATTCAGTTTAAATAGTGAAACAGTGACATTAAAAATTTAAACTGAACAAGAAAAAACGGTTGAGTCGTATTTCGTAAAGAAAAATTTAAAAGTTGAATTTACTCAGATAAAACATTTATTGAGACATGTGAGCATTTCAGCGTATCAGACAAATATTTTCTTATGTTTAATCAAGGTCATTCAACAAAAAATATTCTATTGCTAGAAACTTAAAACCTATAACTAATAGAATGGCACATGGGACTTAATAATAATAATAATAATAATAGAAAGACAAAGAAGCGATCGTCGACATCACACCACTGCAATGCCTTGAGATTTTAAGTAAGCAATGCCTTGTCCATTTTAAGTACTACAATTGTAGTACTTAAAATGGACAATTTAGACAATTTGATAGCGGAGAAGAACAAAAAGTGGTTGGTTTGTTTCAGATCCTCTAGCTAGCAAAGTTTGGCAGCAATAACATTACTCTACTGAAAGACATTGTTGAAAAAACTAAATTAAAAATTAGAAGCTATTTTAAAAACAGCACCAACGTGAAAATCTAATGTTTATTTTGCGAAACAACTTCGTCAATCAACAAATCTGACAAGTTCGTTAAAGTTGTTTCTCACTTTTCTTGAAGTTCGAATTTCAGTGTGAGGGTGGTACTCAAATCAATCGCGTTAGTCAAAGAATACAAATAACATACCAGGAGTACTATACAAATTCACCAGAAAATATTTTGTTTAACAAATTCACACAGATTCAAATTTTATCAAGTGGGGCAAAACTGCATCACCCTTGTGTCCGTTATGCAAAGTTCGTTAGACGAATAAACATGTAATGTTAAATTGCGGTTCAACATCGGCACTGGCGAGATACACAGATAGACATAATAAACTGTTAGAACTAATCATAATGAACTAAAGCTTCACGCTCCAAATGATTGCAAACAGGCGTTAGCTGATTTGGTGGTAGCTGATTTCGCCCAATGTCATCTGTTTAATACTCTACGTCTAGACATTGCCATTCTGCGGGACATCAAAATAGAAATTTTAGAATTGACGATATGCCATGAAGCAAACAAACATAATATCATCCAGACAATACAATCGCAAATCAGCAACCATATTTAAATAATGTTTCTATTAATTGTTCTATCATTATTAATTCATTTGAAATATTGCTAACTGGTTTTTATAACAATCTTAACTTATCACTGTTAAAATTTTATGGCTTATTTCTTTTGAGGAAAAACTTAAAAAAACCGCAATCAGCAAGTCATACGGAATCTACTACGATAAAAACAGAACATGATACCGTTTTAAGTATATTTTATGTACTTGTCAATGATAATGAGCATAGGGAGATCGTACATTTTAATACTTTATTTAGACTTAGATTTTCTTTATTTCATCTTTTTCACCTTATTTGATGTTTCAAGAAAATAAAAGGTTTCCTTTAAAATTCAAAAACATCAACATACTGAAAATATCAAATTCACCTCTTTTTTTTTGGCAATAAAATCCAATCCTATATCTGAAGCTATCTGTTTCACTGATGCTTTTTTATAGCAACCAATAGGAAACATTGATTTTTGTAAGGAACTTTGCGAAATTTGTGAAAGAAAAAGTGTTTGATCTTTACATGCATCATTGGCTTTCAAAAGTTTGGCTCCTAAAATCATGATATAAAGGAACATATAAATATTTGAAAAAGAATATAAAAGTTACAAAATATTAACCTTCAAAATTATGATTTTGCAAAAATTGGCCCCAACTGTTTTTAGCGTAATGACCTGTAGCAATAGCGTCAGCTCCGAGATTATTAACGGCGTACTTTAAAAAATATCCAAACTTTATTTGTTTGTTACATAAAACATCTGGATTTGGTGATTTTCCGTTGATGTATCCGCGAATTAATTCACTTAAATTAGAAATATATAATTAATTATCAAAAAAATTTATAATACTAATCAAAATTAACTAAAATATATTTTAACCATGTAATTTTTACTTTAGCTATTATGTTATTAATAATTAATAAATTCATCATAGCGGATAATTATAAAAGGTATTTAATTTAAAATGTAACATTAAAATTAACTAAACTGAATTAACTTATTAAATTATTAAAAAACTTTGCAAAATATTTTCTGCTTCAATTAATATTATTTTTAAAAAAATTCTTATAACAACGCAAATCAGGCACGCAAAATTAAGGTACATCATTTACATTACAAAAAGAAAAAAATTATTTTTCAAAAAAACTTTCAATATTCATAATTGAAAATAAGAGATTTTGAGCGCTAGAAAATGAAGTTTTTCAAGATTCAAAAAGTTGATTTATCTAACCACAGGCTTAATGTTAAAACCACAAATAAAAACCACAAATAAAAAAGAAAGCGGATATATTATTAAAAGTAAGCATATTTAAGCATTTATATAGCGCATTTTAATAAAATTTTCTACAGCGCTCTATAAAAGTTAATACCTTTGTCGCCATCCTCTTCCTTTTCAAATAAAATTGGCTCAACAACACTTGGATCGTTGTTGCTTCCAAAATACCATTCATTGACGTGGAGAAACTCCGGCCAGAAAATTTGCTGTCAACTCGACGCGAAGACAAAATGAATTTAGCGATTGGTCTCTGTCAGTTATCCCATTAGTATCATTTTAACGAAGAAGGAAAAAACATTGTTTTTGAGTAATCGATATCGTCAGATGCATCAATTTTTCTACATTTCAAAAATAATATTTTGTGGCATTTAATAATATTTATTAATCTAAATAGGTATATTATTAGATGTCAACAAATGATCAACATTATTTCAAGATTGATTGGAAATTTAAACAGATTTTTCTGGCTTAATAGATACAAGCTTGGAGTACATACAAAACCGTTTTGATAAACGCTGCAACTACAGTTTGTGGAAAAACTGGTACAAAACGTCAGCATGAACGGGACACTTGGTGGTGGAATGACAGTGCACAAAATGCAATAGCTAAAAAGAATGCTGCATACAAGCAATGGCAAAAATCAAAGTCGGTTGATGAGAAGAACAACTATGCATGACGTCGAGTCGTACTGGCTCGGACAGATCAGTGCAGAGAGTGGCTCACTAAAAACAAAGGTGAAATAATGAAATCTCTGTATCGTATAGCAAAACAAGCAAAGCGTACGAAAAAAGACATACTTGAAACGACAAAAATGAGATGGTTCTTGAACAAGATGAGATCAAGCTACAGTGGAGAAAATACATAAACCGTCTGTTAAATGAAACAAATCCTATCAATGTCAACTTTGACGCTCTACCCATCGAAGGCCCGATTCCAGACATCACTGAAGAGGAGCTTACAGAAGCCCCTAGTACTGCAGGTATTCAAACGTTACTACAACTTTGCTGTGAAGTATGGAGAAATTGCTCAATGCCGACAGAATAGAACTATAGCATGAGAGTTCCGCTATATAAAGGCAAAGGTGATCTATTGAACTGTTCACGATATCGGGGTATACGTCTGTTAGAACACTCCCTGAAAATTTTCGAGAAAATTATTGAGACAAGATTAACGTCGTGCATCACAATCGGAAATTATCAATTTGGTTCTTAGCGGAGAAATCAACAATTGATGCAATTCACATCCTTCGGCAACTGCAAGAGAAGTACCTCGCAAAGCATCAACAACTATCACACATTTTTGTAGACTTTGAAAAAGCATTTGATCGAAATCCCTGTGAAGCAATCAGGTGGAGTCTACGTTGACAACTCATTCCAGAATATCTTGTTCGACTTGAGATGGAAATGTATGCAAATACTAAAACTCTGTCAGCACAACGGTTGGAAACACAGATGCATTTGACATCGGCGTTTGAGTTCACCAAGGCTCGATTCTCAGTCCACTGTTATTAATAACTGTGATGGAAGAAATCACAAAACCGATACGCACTGGTGACATTTGGAATCTAACATATGCTGATGATATCATTTTTAACATCTGAGCAGAATTCAGCACAGATATTTGAAGATTGGAATACCAGACTGGCCGATCATGGATTTAAAGTCAACATCAGCAACACCAAAGCAATGAACACTGGTGAACCCATCCAATCCACCGTTATTGGACGATGGCCCTGTTCAGTTTGTAAAGTGGTGTAGGTAACAATTCAATCAAGTGTCAGCAGTGTAACCAGTGGTGTCACAAACGTTGTTCAAAAATAATTGGTATATCTAAAGTGTCTAATTTTGTTTGTCCTGCTTGCATTAATACGCAACAACAAATTTGAAATAGCACTGTTTTTGAAGCCATTAAGGTAGAGAAAGTCACATTGTTTCAATATCTAGGAGATGTTCTAGATTGTACTGGCACAGCTGACTTGCATACTTGCAGCCTCAAATAAATGGCATCTTCTTGCCTCTATGTTGATGCGGCGTGACATCCCACTACCACTACTACTACTATCAAGACTTTATAAATCTGTGATACGTCCGGTCTTGTTATATGGTGCAGAAACATGGCTAATGACAACCAAACTGGAACAACAACTCCAACGAACCGACATGAAAATGCTCCGATGGATGCAACGAATTAGTCTGAAGGACCACATCAAATCTACCGAAATCCTGCGTCGTGCTGGTTTAGATGATATAAAGGACGAATGCCGGCAACACCGTCTGCGGTGGTTTGGTCATGTCAAACGAAGTGGAAACTATGCCATAACTTCTCTTGCAGATGTTGAAGTACTTGGCACACGTCCCAAGGCCGTCCAAATAAGTCCTGGTCGCAAACAATCGCAAGACATAAAAGCTCTTAATTTAAATGAAATGGATACAACTGATCGTTCAATTTGGCGCAAAAAGTTGATGGCAAAGAAAACAACGTCCTACCTCGGGAAACTGAGTCTCTGGACGCTAAACGAAGATTGATTGATTTCTGGCATAAAATATAAAACCATCATTTTCTTTTAATTTTTATAATATTAATAATGTAACATATAAATACATTTTCTCTATTATAATTTTATAAGTCTAGGTGGCCATACATCGTGATTTTGCCTACTAAATCTATTATGGTAATTCTGGTTTTCTTTTATTATTTCTGTTTTTAATGGAGGAGCAAATAAAATCATATTATCAATAGCAAGTTAATATATAATTTAATTTTAAAAAATTAATTTAATTATAAAATTAATTAAATAAAATATTAAATAACAACCGTTTTTCAAAAAAAAATTTAGTTGAAATTCAACATTCAAGAAATTGTTTACTTCTTAATGGAAAAGTTATGTATTTCGAAAATTCAAGATTTTAAAGGTATAAATTGAAGAATATATTTTGAAAAAAACCTAAAAACATCATTCCAATATTCTTTAGCAAAACTCATTTCCACATATGGTATATTTAATTTTCGACAAATTAAAGCTGCATCGTGGGCATCTTTTTGGTTGCTGCAACCACTATGTTCATCCAACAAATCCCAATTTTTCATGAATAATCCAATGGTTTGAAAACCTGTTTATATTTTATAGCGATGTTTATTATTCTAAAACCAATATATTAATCAGTTAATTTCATTAAAATTATTTGTAATAATATACAATATTGATGCAATAATGTTGTCCACAAGGTGTCAAGTCTGAGTAATAGTCACTTTTCAGGAAATCGAACCTCTAGAAAATGTGCTGCTTATAATATAAGAGAAACGTCTAAAACGTACAAACGCTTATAATCTAAGAACGGCTGAACTGATTTTCGCTTTTTCTAATCAATTTTAGGATGAATTTTCGGATTCTCCGTGAAAATGTTGATTAACTATTTTGATAAATGGAACTCAGAATATTTTATTATTTCTAAGTCGGACTAAATGATTATATTAATTATATTAATATTCATTTTGAAAAGTTTTAAATATTGAACTTAGTGATTTACATTTTTATAGGTGATACAAAGTTCGCTGGGTCAACTAGTATATACTGTAGCGCGGCTAAAAATGATAGGAACTTTTCACTTTTATTAAAAACAATTTGGCCACATAAAAAAAATGTTCACAGCTTATTTTACCAGCATTTAAACAATTATAATGTTAATTTATTTTTGATAAACGTCACAAGTCTTAGATTACTGAAAAACAACGATTTTAATGTTAGGGCATTTAAACAATTATAATGTTAATTTATTTTTGATAAACGTCACAAGTCTTAGATCACTGAAAAATGTTAGGGCAAAACGAAAAGCAAAAAATGTAACATGAAAAAAGTTTTAAGCCAAATTTGTTTCCTTTATTTTAAATTACATCAATGAATCTTGAATTCATTGAACTAATGAGAGATTTCTAGAATTTGTCATCAATTTTGTCTCATCGCCTTAAAATTTCATTTTATAAGTCTGCAACATTTCGAAACTGCCTTCCATTAGCAGAAAATGTTGATGTATGAGCTTTTTGCCATGTTTTGACTGTGCAAACGGAGCATGCTTGTGAGAGTATATTCATATATGCTTGAAAGTTTTGGTGTCCTGAAAGTATTTACAGTTGGCTTTTTCCCTTGCTGAAGAAGCATCATAAACCATGACGGATCCTTTTCCTAGTTGCTTCTAAAAAAATCTTTTTTTCTCTTCTTTCATCATGCCAATAGAATTGATTGCCATCTGGGTCATCGAGACAACTTTTTATTTTTCATCTCTAACGTTATCTTTTTTTGCCCATTCCAATCGCTGGTTTTTATGAAATTTGTTAAGTGGCGATGATCTAAGTTTGTATTCAAATTTTAAATAATTGTACATCTTTAAGCATCTTTTTACAGTTTTACCAATAATGCATGTCACATCACATCTGTTTGAACAGTCTCAGTACAGGTTACTAGTCTAACAACGATTAAACCATGTTCTTAGCTATAATTTTTGGATTTTAGGTTGTTAATGTAAAAATATGAATCCGTTGTTCCATATTCAATTGTTTACCTCTACCAATTTGAAAAAACGATTTTAATCGATTTTAAATCACCCAAAAAAGCGCGTCTAATGTGAACAAAAACAGCATTAGTCATTTTAATGTCCTTATGAAGTTAGATTTGCTGATTAAAACTTTGAAATGAAAACGTTCCTATCATTTTGACCAATATCAAAATTTATAATTTTCAATTATGCATGCGTAAATTTTTGCGTTTAAAGTGAATAATATTAACCAAAAAAATTAAGAAAAAAATCGACCGCACTGCATATAGAAACATCTTTTTTAAGCCGCACTGCATAAAGAAAACATTAGATCAAAATAGAAAACTCTTTTTTAGCAATGTAACATCACATCTGTTTGAACTGTCTCAGTCCAGGTAACTTGCTTGTAACTTGGGCGGCGTGATGGCTCAATGGTTAAAGGCTGGTCTTGCTATTGCAATGACTGGGTTCGAATACAAAGAGATCCCCGCCTATCATATGCAATGTGTATGATGTGTGGTTTGCGCGCGTATTCATATACACTATGAACAATTGATTTTTTTCCTTAAACAGCATTTGTCTTAAAATAAATATGTTTTGCTAGAAAATTTTCTATGCATTACTGGTTATAATAAGGCTCGGTAGAAAAATGGTTTGGTGGGGGAACTTTTTTCTTGACATCTGAAATGAACATATTTGTTAATCTGGTGCTAAAACTCATCTTTTCCTGCTATTCCAATATGGGGTTAGCGAAAAGTCATAACCCTAGTGTGCAGTGGCCTGCTTCGAATAAAAACAAGAGAAAAGATCCCCGCCTATCATATGCAATGTGTATGATGTGTGGTTTGCGCGCATATTCATATACACTATGAACAATTGATTTTTTTCCTTAAACAGCATTTGTCTTAAAATAAATATGTTTTGCTAGAAAATTTTCTCCAATAAGAATGTATTAAAACAAGTCCGGTTATGAAAAAAGAAAATTACCACAAATAATCCAGTGGGGGCAATTGAAGTTTTTTTGATCACATCATGCGGAAGGAAGGAATAGAAAATCTAACAACTACTGGAGAGATTGCAGGAGAAGAGATTTACGCTCGTGAGGTACTTGTATCACTTGTTGAATATCATCACATTTTAACTACTACAAAGTTGGGTTTTGTGGAGGTCGACAGTCGCCAATGTTTTGAAAGGATAAGGCACGAGGAAGAAAGAATACGTTTCATAATTATGTTTATTTTAAAATTTACAAAACGGTATAATTTACCAAACGGTATAAGAACTGGAACTAAAAAATTTTCAAAAGTTGAAACGGAAATAAAATCGAAAAACTTTGGCAAAATTAAACAAAAGCAAAACGGGAAACATTTGATACGAAATTCACACTAGTTGTAACAACCAACAAGTTAGGTTCAAGATTTCTGATAGATAAAAAATTGCTTCAAACACAAACTTGTTTAAAGAAAGAATTATTCGCAAATTTCAAAATACACTTAAAAGAATCCTGGAGCAGTATACGACTCTAGAATCTGCAAAGCTGATATTGAAGAAAGACACAAAAATACGGCAAATCCATGAATTAGTGTTGAACGATTGTCTCAACAACAAGAGACAACAAACCACCAGAATGCTGGAACTGTGGAAAAAAGGGCTTATCAGAAAGTATTGCAAGAGGCCCCAGAGAAGCTTTTCGGAAAGATGCCAGCCCCATGTTTGGAACGTCTGCTGCTAAGACGTCGGAAAACTAGTGAAAGCCAACTTTGCTGGAAAAACAAACACCCCCAGCAAGCAATATTATTCATGTTTCAAGACAGCATTGTGACCGAAATGATTTTGGGTAGAAGGAAAGAGAGATCTACGCAAATGTTCAATTACCATCGATACAGGAGGAATTAGATCTTTTATTAGACAAGATATGTCAATGGATCTAAAAAAATCTAGCAAGTACCTACTTCGAACGTTGGAGAAACGTGCCTGTATATGGAGAAGTATCTTGCATGGTAGAAATGAGAGATCTGAAGTTTGAGGGCACGTTTCTGGTGCTAGACATTACGCTTGGTCATCGAATTGATGATAAAGTACGGCTTCCACTTAGATCTAGAAAAACGAGTATTAAGATGGAAAAACACGGAAGTGATGATGAGAAACAGTCAGTCAATATGTACCCAGGTAGAGGTCGATGATGATATTGTAATACCATGTCTGCCAGAAAACATCATTTGAGCAAAACAGAAAAACTCCGACGTTCAAAATACAGGATATCATTTTGGAAAATTCCCGGTAGAGGTCAACGAAATAATGCACAAGACCAAAACACGATACAACATCAAAGGCAATAGCTTAGGGTTTAAAGAAAGTGTAATACAGTAAAAACAGTGAATGTGACAGCCGACAAATTGTCCTGGTGGAACTTACTCCGACGTCCAAAATACCTAGTATCATTGTTGGAAAATGCCCGGTAGAGGTCAACGAAAGCATGGACAAGACCAAAACACGGTACCACATCAAGGTTAAAACGAAAATGACTGGTCTGGCTGTACAACTCCCGGGGCGGAAAAGGGCAATGTCCGAAACTCCAAAGAAATTGGGAAGGCTAGTACAGGGTCATTAAAAGAATAAATGACATAGTTTACAGGATCCAAAAAAAATGAGACAGCGAGCAAAGATGAAGATTGTTCATTTGGATAGATTAGCCCCCTATTCATCGGAATGAGAAAATAACGCCTATATTACGGACTAACAGACAAAGGTGAGGTTAGTTATAACCGCTGGAATGATCAAAATACGTTATATTATTAGTCATGTTAATTATTGTTATTTTTGCTATATTTATAATCTTTGGATTGTAAACCACAGAAGATCGTAAAAAGATATCGAATCTTTTGATTGTAAAAATCTACCGTAGAGGTCCTGCGGGGAGACGGTTTGTAGCTAGATTTTATGCTAAGTTGTAAGTTTGATTAGTGTAGTTACTTGGATTAGTTTAGTGTTTCTAATTACTGTTGGCATTCAAATAAATGTTCAACAAAGTTTTAGTTTGAAGTGTTTCTAATTACTGTTGGCATTCAAATAAATGTTCAACAAAGTTTTAGTTTGAAGTAGTTGTGTTCATCTATCGGAAATCTTGAACCTACGGAATAACAAACACTTGACGATCGTTTGAAGCAACAACACTAGTGTTGGAAATATAGAGATCATTGAAGTTATAACTATGGTGTTGGTAGTAACGAGCATTCCAAGGGTTACAACAATGATAACAACCAATTGAAATTAATTATATAGAGCAATTCGACCATTCCAATGGATGAAACACTATCCTCTATTTGCCATAGCTACACGCCAACAAAAGCTGAAGCTTTTACTACAAACGACAAAAAGTGGTTGAGCTTGAAAACCAAAAAAAAAACAATTCCTACACTTTTAGCTGCATTTTCATACACATAATATACCTATTCCACATGCCAACTAACTGTTCAAACTATTTAATTTTTCAAGAAAACTCGTAACAGTGAAATGATATTTTTACGACAGTACATGGGCAATAGTACAGAAATCGATAAACTGTGCAGAGTAAAAGTTGGGTTTGTGTGTATGCTGATTTTTCTCATCACTCCTTTAATCAAAATTCAAAGACTGATTGGGTGCAGTGTGACGGATGTCCGAAAGGAGACATTTGAAATGTGCAGTGTGAAACGTTTACCAAAAGGTTCTGGTTTTATAGCAATTGTAACTGAAAGATTGTAAATAAAAGTTATATATAAAATATGGATTAAACGTAAATACAAAAAACAGAATCTTATTTGTGATTTTTTTTTACTTACTAAAGTTTTAACTTCTTCAAGTTGTGCAGACGTTACGATTTTGAGTTGCCTTCACAATACAAATATATTGAAAAAAAACGTAGATTGTTTTAGTCGTCTTCATTGGTTTGGAAAAAAAACAAAGTTGAGTCGAGTACAGAGAACTTATTAAATTTTAAAAAAGACTCAAAAAAATTTATAAAAAAGAGTCAATAAAAAAATTGAGTGATCAATTTATTTATGAAGTGATGGCCATCACTGAGAGTAAATCCTTGACAAGAATAAATAACGTAACATTAGCTTTTTCAGAAAAGAGGCAAAGAACGAATAACGCCAACCCACCAGAACCATTGAAGAATTACTTGGTCATAAAACAAGGAAGAAAAAATTCAAAATAGGCAAAATTAAAAACTTTACATTTTAATTTATGATAATTTTATATATTTATTAAATTGGATTAAAAAATCATATCAAATTATTAACAAATTTAAAAAAATTAACAGAGATTGGAACAAATTGGTTGAATATGTGAGCAGCTCATTTCATATTCAGCCAATTGAACCTTATAATAAGACCAATCAAACAATCACAAAACATTGCAAAATTGTTACATAAAAAAATTCTCCAATTAAAAAAAAAATTCTCCAGTTAAAAAATATAGAAAAGTTATTTTAGGTATGAAGATAGGTTCCAAACAAAAGATTGCCAGTTTGAAAGCACAGAATGATGTTTTGAGGCGTTTGAGATCCAAAAGAAAGTCATCCATCAACTCGTGGAAAGCAAAACTGTATCAGGAAAGAGAAAAAGGGCAGACTAATTTTTTTACTAGTTATCTATATAAAAAATTGAAAAATATTAAATTGAACAGAGCTCAAACAATAAAACATAAAAACAAGCTAATGGAAAATTATAAATCTAAAATAAAAGAACAAATAGATAAAATTGAATCATTGAAGAAGGAGTTAAACAATGCTCAAACAAATAACAATGATTTGATAAAAGAAGTTCCCCATGTGACAAACTTGATTTTGGAAGAAGATGAAGAAATTGGTATATAGCTATTATATATAATGATAATCATATATTATAATTATATAATATATAAATTTATAAAATATAAATTTGGTTTCTTGGGTTGCTAATGCAGATTATGAGAATAAAGTTGAAAATTTTTTTTCATGCATTTTTTTCTCGTGCATCTTGTATTATTAATTATTCAAATTTGTATATAAATAATTTTAATATTAATAATTACCTTGTTTTTTCAACAGATAAGCAGCAACAGCACTATCCACTCCTCCTGAAATAGCACAAACCACTTTCTTCATCTTTCAGAATTCAGCCGCTACCCCACTGCATTGTACGTTACACAAATAATATTAATAAAACAAATATAAAAAAAAAATTTAAAATACAATACCAATCTTAAATCTACTTACATGAAGACAGAAAAGTCAAAAGTGGAAGACAAAAACTGAAAAACAGCTTAAAAGTGCAACCCAGTTTAAATATGAATCTGAGGATTTTAACGAAAGATTTTAACGAAAAGTTTGATCTTAGATATTATATATAATATATACATATTACATTAGCTTAATAGAGATAGTAATGAAAAGTGGAAAAAATTTAAAGGTAAATGGCGATAATTTTCACGATTTTAAAAGTAAATGCTAATAATCAATCAATCAGCTAATAATCAATTAGCTCTTGTTCCACGATGCTCAACAGCGCTCTTTAGTGAAATTTACAAACAAATAGGACTTGAGATCTGTTCTGATATGTTGAAGCAGATGTTATGGAATTTCTAAGAAAAGTAGAGTGTTTAGAGAATAGTAGATATTTATAATTAATCAATTCAGATTCATAGATAGAATTAAGAGAGTTAGATGAATTTAACCTATAGGCTTTCTCCAGTCTTCTAACACTTTTCTTGGCTACTACACAGCCATGATCAAATCAAGGAGCCATACGAGAATAGAGCCTATAAGTAAAAGATTTAAGAGGAATAAGCTTATCAAGAATAGAAGTAATGTAGATATTAAAAGCATAGAAAAAATCATCAACATCAGAAAATAAGGTAGTATCAAAAATAGTTTCAGTAAGAGATTGAAGAAAAATATCTTTAATAAGAGAAGACCAGCATTTTTTAGAAATAGACATAGATGAATTTGAAGGAAGAAAATCTAATGAAAAAACAGATTCAATAAGGAGGTGATCAGAAAAAGGAACAAGGAATATTATATAGGCTTAGAAAAAGATGAATCTATAATAAAATCAATAGTGTTACCAGAAGTATGGGTAGGAAAAGAACAATATTGTGTTAAGTTAAAAAGAGACAAAATATCATTAAATCTACAAGTGTAAGAACATGATAAATTATTGAAGAGCAAGTGTAGAAAGGAATAGAAAAAGAGTAGAGAGATTCAGCGAGTAGAATTCATCTAAAAATATCATCGCACCGATTCTCAAAACTCCGCGGACTTTGTGCGGTTTCTGAGGATGCGGATTCAAGTGCCTTATTCAATAAACTGCCCGCAAAATTAAATTTTTAATTTTCAAAATTTTTCAGGACAAAAAAATTTTGTTTTTTCATTTGTTTGCATATATGTATAGCTGAGTTTTTCTGAGGTCCACGTTGATAAAGCCAAGCAGGCAGCTTATACTAATTATTTCAGCAGATTTGAAAAAAGACAGTTAAAAGCTTTACTTAAAGAATAGAATGTAGAATCAGGAAGACCATAGTAGAGCGAGTTACAATAATCAATCCTAGATAAGACTAAGGAAGTAACAAGAAGTAGAAGAGTAGGATCGTCAAGAAAAGGTAAAAGTTTTTTTATTCGACGTAGATGAAAGTAAGAACTTCCAGCAACACTATTAATCTGAAAAAAATGAACATGCTAGAATCTTTCATTCTGAAACTTGTGAGAAACATCAAAAGTTAGAATCAGGTAAGATAATAGGAGGAATAGTAATCAATCAATCAATCAATTAGCTTATAAACCGCTATTTCCACGATGTTTAACAGCGCTCCTCAATGAATTTTGCAAATAGATGGGTCTTAAGATCTGCTCTGAACTTCGTAAGTGATGGAGAAGTAGTCAGAGAAGTAGGTAGAGAGTTCCAGAGAAAGGGCCAGAATAAGCAGATGCAGATTTAGTAAGAGTGTTTAAAACGGGTTAAGAAGAAGAGATACATGAGAAAAGAAAGAGACACGAGCAACTAAACGAGCAGCAGAGTTAAAAGCTTTAGTTAAAGAATAGAGTATAGAATCAAGAATACCATAGTAGGGCGAGTTACAATAATCAATCCTAGATAAGATAAGACTAACGAAGTAACAAGAAGGAGAAGAGTAGGATCATCAAGAAATGGCAAAAAATTTTTATTCTACGTAAATGAAAGTAAGAACTTCTAGCAAACGCTATTAATCTGAGAAGAAAGAGACATACAAGAATCAAAAATAATCAAAAATAATCAAAAAATAATCAAAGTAATAATAATCAAAGAATCAAAAATAGAGTGACTAGATTTATTAAAACAAATTAATTCAAATTTAGAAGGATTAAGTTTAAGACGCATAGAGTCAGACCAAATGATAATTGAAGAAAGACATAGAGATAGATTTTGAAGAACACTATTGAGATAAGTTGGAGGAAAGGAAGTATACATATAAGAATCATCAGCAAATAGTTGACAAGTGAACTAATAGAGTAATAGAATGTATATGGACCGTTTGCTTAGGCAATTTTGAGTTTGATTTTTACTTAATTTTATTTGTCTTTATGTTTTTCTACAGAAAAACATTTCAAGTGATCAGTGTCGATTTTTTGTCCTAATATTAGTAATTTTTCAACAAGCGTTCGATAAAATAAATTACTACAAACATAAATCAGTTAAATAAACCTAAAATTTTAAACATCATTAACATAAACGTGGATATTTTTAGTTCATGGAAGTAGAGAAAGTATGAATAAATGAATAAATGAAAGAAAGGTGAATAAATGAATATTAAATATTAGATAATGTATCGAGTGACGTGACGACGTAGGATTTTTGACGAGTAGTCACAAACTGTGTATTTACAGATTGGAAATCGCCAAGTGTTGTACGATGTGATTATTTATATATATATATATGTATGTAATAGGTGTTTGTGTGTATGTTTATTGAATAAACTTTATTCAAGGGAGGCCTATTTACCAATTTACAACACTTTCTTATGAGTTGAAGCAGGGATATGCAAAAAACCCAATTTTTTCAACTTTTAATTATTTTCGGTAATGTTGATTTAATTTTTTTAAATTTATACCAAATAAAAGTAATTAATTACAACATTGAATAACAATTTAAAAAAAGTTAAAATTTTTACATTTTAAATAAAAGCTATATTCCGAAATTAGTAAATATGCGATCGTGACTCGAACAATAAAAAAAAATTACCCTCCAAATTCCCTCCGAAAGTAAGCTTCTTGTTCGACTGTTAAAAGTAAGCGAAGGCTGTTATATTTATTTGATATTCAAGTTTTGTGACTTAATTCCCATGAATGTGCATTTAATCTCATAAATATGCTTCACGTGCATGTAAAGCATGCTTATAATGCGCCTGCGTATATGATAGAAACCCTTTTTTTTAGCCATATTTCACTCCGCATACATATATTGGCTAGCAAACTTCAGTCTCATTCTCACTTCATGCTTATCTCATGAATATTAATCGCGCGATAGGCAAAACAATATCCATTAACATACCGTTACCCTAACAGATTTTTTCATAGAAACTGAGGAATATAATAATAATACCATTTTTCTCGATGCCTAGTTCGAAAGTCGTTTCAATGCTGAACAAGTTCAGGTACGTTCCTGATTGCGAACCTGTAAAAGATAAAGAAATCGGAAAGCTAGAGAGTTTTATACGTAAATCTCGATACCTTGTGGCGCTAACTGGTGCTGGCTTGTCCACTGAAAGTGGAATCCCAGGTAAGTGCAGATTTATTTTTTTTAACTATAACTTTCTTAGACTTATTTTCATTATGAATACTCATTTAAAAAAAACAGTGGCCATGAAAAATTAAGCCTTTCTGCAAATGTTTTCAAGACTAGTTTTTATGACTCTCATCAATATTCAATACTAATTAGTCATTACTTATAAGTCATTAGCATGGCCTGACTTGTTAGTTTTTTAGAAGTTGTGAAAGCAAGCTAAATGGTTTAATTAAGTTAAGAAAATTTGATAACATTTACTTTGTTTACATTTTAGTTGAATTGAATAAAAAAGACAAGTGATATAATACAAAATTATTCGTCAGATTATTATTGAATATTCAATAATATAATATAATGTTACTTTTACTTCCTGAGTATGTCTTGGGATGTACTTGTACTGCATACTTAGATATGTAATCCAACTCAAACAATAAGGTTGGGTATGTTAGAGGTGAGCATGAGGATGGGAATAGCGAAAATCTTGGTTCTTATAAGAATACCAAGTGGTATAGTGAAATCTAATTTTTAAGAATGGGAATATTACAAAAATCATATGTCAACGGCACATAAAATAGACGAAGTTGTCCTCAAACAAATCATAAAAATAAATAGAATTCAGGATATAATACAATAATTGTTAGACAAAACAATTGGTTCTAAAGAACAATTGCACTCCTAAAGATGATTCTACTTTGTATGAATTTAAATGTCCTATTGATGGCTAAGCGTGTCAAAAATATTTATACATTGGTGTTACGACAACCTCACTATCAATGCACACACAAAGAGGAGCCATCAAATCAACAATCAACATTTGTAACTCAATAACTCGCCAAATTCTTGACAACACAAAAATAATTTATCAAAACACCGATACATTGTACCTAAAAATTGCAGAAGCTGTCAGTAGATATCAATAAACCCCAAATAAATCTCCAACAAAGAATGATTAATTACATCACTTAATACTAACTTCAATAGTAATGAAGACAACAACAAAGATGAAGAATACAAAACCAACGTTGCTAAAGAACTAACTTTGCTTTGTTTAAAAAACTATATAAACCAAACCTGCACTGAAGATGATTTGTGAAAAATCGAATAAGGCCTATTTGGGTAACAACAGTTTTATTAAATTTTCATTATGAACTTGGATATAATTCTATTTTCAATTAATTGAACAATTTCCAGATATATCTAGTAGGGAAAGTTGAAAAGACAAACTTTAAATTGATTAATGCCATACAATTCTGTATAAAATATGGTCTCCTTCTAAAACACACACACACACACGTATATATATATATATATATATATATATATATATATATATATATATATATATATATATATATATATATATTCTTGTGAAATTAGGATTTAGACCTGGCTTGTCCAACCAGCGGCTCGCGGGGCCCGCCAAAGGTTTTCATCCGGCCCGCCAGCCTTCTTAGAAAAATATTCAAAATATAAAATTTAAAGTATTTTTTATTGAGTTGGTTAGATGTAAATTTTAAACTTTTTAAAAATAATTTTTAATTTAAACTCTTGTATTAATAAAAACATTAATTAATAATAATGCGCTACGACCACGATTCATTTAAAATAGTTTCCTTGACGACGCAAAGGACAACGTAAATAAAACGTAACTAGCAGACGATATTATGGCGTCCGTCGATAAAAAACGTAAAATTGATTCTGAAAATCGTATTTTTGAAAGTTCGTGGACAGAAAGTTATTTTGTTGTGCAGCAAGCCGATGTTATTTTGTGCCTTATTTGTCAAGAAACAATTGCCGTTCACAAGGAATATAACATCAAGTGACATTACTGCTCTAAACATAGCAGTAAATTTGATAGTGTGGTGGGCCAAACACGAACTGATCGCATCAACTCGATGAAACATGAAATTGTTGCTCAATAGTCATTGTTTAAAATTGGTAACCAGAGTGTCGAAGCAGCAACAAAAGTTAGCTATTTAATTGCAGAAGATATTGCCAAGAGAGGAAAACCATTTTCTGATGGAAAATTGGTGAAAAACTGCTTAGAGATATTTACAGATGTTGTTTGCCCAACAAAAAAGTCTTTGGTGGAAAACGTAAGTCTTTCTCATCAAACTATTGGTAGAAGAGTTGACGATATGGCGAAAAATATTGAAGATACCTTGGTCAGGCGACTTAACGATTGTGAATATTACAGTTTGGCAGTTGATGAGAGCACAGATATCAGTGACACTGCTCAACTAGCAATATTTGTTAGAGGAGTTACGAAAACGTTTGATATAGTTGAGGAACTGTTGGACATGTGCCCAATGAAGAGCACAACAACTGGAAATGATATTTTTGAACAAGTTATTCTAGCAATGGAAAAATTCCAGCTTTTTAAAAACAAACTTGCTGGTGTAACAACAGATGGGAAGTATGATAGGAAAGAAGAGTGGATTTGTAACCTTGTTAGCACAATCAGTATCATTACATACCACTATATTATTCATCAAGAAAACTTGTGTGCCAAGACCCTTGACATGAAGCATGTAAGAGAAAAGATTGTGTCAGCTGTTAATTTTATCAGATCTAGAGGTCTTAACCACAAGGAGTTCAAATCATTTCTCGAAGAAGTGGGCTCAGATTATGATGATGTTGTTTACTTTTGCCAAGTTCGGTGGCTAAGCAAGTCAACCACGCTATCTAGATTCTGGAGTTTACGTCATGAAATAAAGACATTCATGGTTAACAAAGAAAAGGAGGTAGCGTTTTTGGATGACAACTTCTGGTTAAATGATTTGGCATTTTTGATTGATATGACAAAATGTATGGCTGAATTGAATGTTAGACTTCAAGGAAAGTACCAACTTATGCACAGATTGTATGAACACATTGTTACTTTTATTGAAAAGTTAAAGTTAGTTCAGAAACAGATGGTTCAGAAAAAAGTAACACATTGCGCAAATCTTTCCACAAGACCTGTGGACACAGTGCAGCATGAAAAGTACAATGAACTACTTGTCAAACTGATCGATGATTTCCAGCAAAGGTTCCAGGATTTTAAAAAGCACAATGACTTTATGATATTGCTAAGTAACCCATTTAATGTTGACCCCACTGATGCTGCTGATACCAAATACCAAATGGAGCTAATTGATCTTCAGAATAACAGTGATTTGAAGAGATCTTTTGTGGAACATGATTTGCTAACTTTCTACAAGTGTTACATATCGTCAGAAAGTTATCCTAATTTGACAGAAGATGCCAAGAAGTTTATCGCTTTGTTTGGTAGTACTTATTGCTGTGAACAACTGTTTTCAAGAATGAAAAATACAAAGACGAAGTCAAGATCTTTACTTAAAGATAGACGTTTGACAGCCTCACTGCATATAGCGACTTCTATAAACGCAAACAATGTCAAATTTCTCAATAAAATTAGAAATTAATGTAATTACATAAATACTTTTATTTTGTAATAAAAAAAATATATATCCATTATTATGTGTTACACTTTTATTTATTGTTAGTAATGCAAAATTGCCCATCAAATTTTTAATCGGGCCGCGACTTCTAGCTAAACTGTCAATCTGGCCCTCTGAACAAAAAGGTTGGGCAACACTGATTTAGACCATATTCGCAATATAGAATATGTCGAAATTAAGTTTTTTCTTGAAAACTGTATATATATATTCTTTATGTCGAAGTTTTTTCCTGATATATATGTTGGTAATAGACCATAATTTTCACAATATTCTATAAATTCTACCGAATGATTGGCGTTAATATGTTTGTATAATAGTTCGTTTTTTCGATTTTTCTCACTAACGTTTTTTGGATAACGTTTAGTTTATTAATTAAATAAGTTTATTTTGGATTTTAATAAACTAAACGTTCTCCAAAAAACTTTAGTGAGAAAAATCGAAAAAACGAACTACAAACATATTAACGCTAAACATTCGGTAGAATTTATATATATGTATATATATATATATATATATCCGTGTATGTGTGTGTGTGTGTGTATATATATATATATATATTTGTACACATGTGGTCAGCATAACATACATGCATACATACACATATTTCTCTCCAGATATTTCCAGATCTCACAAATTGAATTGCATACTCTTGATATTAAAGAGGAATGAGAGTGAAAAACGTGGAAATGAGTTGTAAAAATAAGGAATGGGAATTTTAGGAAACATTGTCATTTATTATTTATTATAAGAAGAAAGGCTTGAGAAAATTCCCTTGTTCAAAACCGAAATGACATAAATTAACAAAAATAAATTTAAACTAATTTCTATAAAAATCAACAAAAAAGATCAAAGTCTAAATCCATATCAATGTTCAAAAAGAAAATTCTTAAAATTAAGTATCACATATACAAATGCAAATAAAAATTTAAAACAATAATCAAAATCAAACACATGATAGACTAATATTAAGATACCGAATATTTTTTGTCAACATAAAAAAAATTTAATTAAATTTTAAAAATATAGAGTGTAGGAGTATTAGCAGTGTCATTAGGTAACACATTTCAAGGACTAACAACTCAGATCAACTCAGACAATGAAAAACTATTCTGGAATGGTCAAAAGACGGCCAAAAATGGTGTTGGAATTTTTGTCAAAGAGCCGCTAGCCCAAGAAGTACTGGATATTAAAAGGATTAATTCACGACTCATGTGGATCAAGCTTCGCCTAGAAAAGCAAACAATGACTATGTTTTCTGCATACGCACCAGAGACAGGCAAATCAGAAGAGATGAAAAATGACTTTTGGGCTGCGTTCTCTAACACCATCTCAACAATACCAAAATCTGAAACAATCCTGATTGGAGGCGATCTCAATGGTCACGTTGGAGAGAAAACAGATGGTTTTGACAACGTACTGGCGGTTTTGCCTATGGAGAACGGAATGAAGATGGCAATCGCATCCTTGAGTTTGCTGAAAGCCACGGGTTTTGTTTACTGAACACATATTTTAGAAAGAGGTTGGAACATCTCATAACATACAGAAGTGGACCATCAGCCACGCAAATTGATTTTTTCGCTATCAAGTTACAACACCCAAGGGTATTCAAAAATGTCGAATCATGTGTCGAATCTTGCGAATCACGTGTCGCCCAACATAGACTCCTTGTGGCAGACTTGGCACAACATAAGTCTAAACAAATGCCTCGGAGAATCAAAACGTGGAAGCTGAAAAGCAGTATTCATCGAGAAAAATTTCAACATTTTAATATTCAGACCACCAATCGCAAGCCAGTACAGATTGGAGTACATACAAAACCGTTTTGATAAACGTTTTGAAAAACTGGTACAAAACTTCAGCATAAACGGGACACTTGGTGGTGGAATGACAGTGTACAAGATGCAATAGCTGAAAAGAAAGTTGAATACAAGCAATGGCAAAAATCAAAGTTTGTTGATGACCATAAAATTTTCCGTGAGAAGAACAACTATGCAAGACGTCGAGTCGCACTGGCTCGGACAGATCAGTGCAGAGAGTGGCTCGCTAAAAGCAAAGGTGAACAAATGAAATCTCTGTATAATATAGCAAAACATGCAAAGCTTAAGAAAAAAGACATAATTGGTGCCTCATGTATCAAAAACGACAAAAATGAGAAGGTTCTTGAACAAGATGAGATCAAGCTACAGTGGAAAGAATATTTCAACCGTCTGTTAAATGAAACAAATCCCATCAATGTCAACTTTAACGCTCCACCCATCGAAGGTCCGATCTTTGACATCACTATAGAGGCTAATACTTCTGAAAGCTATGAAGGATGGAAAGGCAGCAGGGTCCTCTGGACTCACAAATGACATTATCAAAGCATCTCGTACTGCAGGTATCCAAACGTTACTACAACTTTGCCGTGAAATCAGGAAAAATTGCTCAATGCCGATTGAATGGAACATGACAGTTCCGCTTTACAAAGGCAAATGTGATCCATATTCATCATATCGGGGTATACGTTTATTAGAACACTCCCTGAAAATCATTGAGAAAAGATTAACGTCTTGCATCACAATCGGAAATTATCATTTATAATATAATTATCCCCGCTATGAAACCAACAATTGATGCAATTCATATCCTTCGGCAACTGCAAAAGAAGTACTTCGCAAAGCATCAACAACTATCACACATTTTTGTAGACTTTAAAAAAGCATTTGATCGAGTTCCCCGTGAAGCAATCAGTCTACGTCGACAACTCATTCCAGTATCCAGTATCTTGTTCAATTGTGATGGAAATGTATACGTATACTAAGACTTTCGTCAATTACAAAACCTATACGCACTGGTGACATTTGGAATCTAAAATATGCAGATGATATCTTTTTAATAGCCACGTCTGAGCAGAATGCACCACAGATGTTTGAAGATTGGAACACCAGACTTGCCAGTCATGGAATCAAAGTCAACATCAGCAAAACCAAAGCAATGATTACTGGTGAACTCATTCAATCCACAGCTACTGGACGATGGCCCTGTTCAGTTTGTATAAGCTGGTGTAGGTAACAATTCAATAAAGTGTCAGCAGTGTAACCTGTGGTATCACAAACGTTGTTCAAAAATAATTAGTACTTTATCTAAAGTATCCAATTTTGTTTGTCCTGCTTGCATCAATCCACAACAACTAATACGAAATTGCAATGTTTTTGAAGCCATTAAGGTAGAGAAAGTTACATTGTTTCAATATCTAGGGTATGTTCTAGATTGTACTGGAACATCTGAAGCTGCCGTTCAAGCACGCATACGTGTAGCCTGGACTAAATGGCATCTCCTTGCTTCTATATTGATGCGGCGTGACATCCCACTACCACTACGATCAAGACTTTACAAATCTGTGATACGTTTTATGGTGCAGAAACATGGCCAATGACGACCAAACTAGAACAACAACTTCAACGAACCGACATATAAATGCTTCGATGGATGCAACGAATTAGTCTGAAGAACCACATCAAATCTACCGAAATCCTGCGTCGTGCTAGTTTAGATGATAAAGGACGAATGCCGGCAACACCGTCTGCGGTGGTTTGGTCATGTCAAACGAAGTGGAATCAGTGCCATAAATTCTCTTGCAGATGTTGAAGTACCTGGCACACGTCCCTAAGGCAGTCAATCGAGCAAGACTTGAAAGATCCAAATTTAGCGCAAAAAGTTGATAGCAAAGAAAACAACGTCCTACCTCGTAGGAACTGTGTCTCTGGAGGCTAAACGAAGATTGATTGGATTGATTGATTTGTAGTCATTAGGTAACACATTTCAATGACTAACAACTTGATTAAAAAAAAATATTTTCTACAATCTTTTTGCCAGTCAGTTTGCTGATGGCCTCTAGAATTGACAGCAGATCTACCGCACAACTGTGGGCAAATCGTAGGGTCCACCATTCTTGATGTGTTCAATAGACTAGAATTAAATCACCTCTGATTCTACGGTATTCAAGGGATGAGAAGATTAGTTTTACCAATCTTAAATTTTAATCGAAATTTTTACAGGACTTTGGAATTTTTGAAGCTCCTCTCTGAACTTTTTCTAATTCAATAATTAGATCTTTTCTATGTGGACAACAAACACGAACAACATATTCCAGACGTGAGCATACCAAAGACTTGTATATAACAGATGAAAGCTTCGTCAGACATGCTAGAATTTCTGGTCAGTGTTCTCAACATGCAGTTAAATTTCTTTATTCAACTCAAAACGTGATCTTTAAATAATAGGCGACCATCTATTACCCCACCAAGGTCGGGATACTCTACATTTGCAAAGCCTGAGCTACATTATCTGAATCTGTGATAAAATAGCCCCTCGACAAACATCTGCATATTGTCTACAAGCTGCATTTACTGACGTTAACCCTCCTCCATTTCTGAAACCACAACATTACATTATTTAAATAACCAATACTTCCCAACCTTGCATTAGAGATGTTGATCAAAAAATCTTAGCATCGGCATATAAAAAGATATTGTTTTAAATTGAGTAAATGTCGTTGATGTAAATTACAAACGAAAGTGGACTGAGCACTTCACTCTACAGAACACCACTGGCAATAGGCTTGAGATAGCTAATTCTATCTAATTCATTATAGTGTCAAGAACTTAATATTTTTCAATTTAACCAGAGCCTGGAATGAGAAATTAGGTCAAAAGCTTTCTCTAAATCAGTGTTAGTAATATCTGTACTCATACCTGCTTCCAGTGATGCCGCTGCCTCATCAACGAATTTCAAAAGGTGAAAACGATTGAACGAGATGGAAGGAACCCATATTGTCTATTTGTTAACAAATGATTGCTTATAAAATAATTTTTGATATTATCAGCTATAAATGGTTCCATTATTTTGCAGCATGATTGAGTTAATGCAATAGGTCTATAATTGGTTGACAAATTGTTACTACCTATTCAATGTCACCAGAGCTGACTTCCAATCATTTGGAATATCACCAGTATTTAATGACCAACTAAAGAGTTGAATAACAACAAAATTCTAGGATGAACTCCGTCAGGGCCCTGTGAATTGTTTCAATCGATTTTTTAAGTTTAAGTTTATTACCAACGTTTTATTAAATCTTCAGGAATCTAAGAACCGTTTTAAGTACCATCATCGGTAAATGACAAATCTTTCACAGAAACGGATTAAACTAATCTTCCGAAATATCAGCTCCTTGTCGTCCGATACCAATTTGCTATCCTGGATTAAAAAACCAATTTTATCATTGATGATGGTAACATTTCTCTCCTGCCTCCAAAACAATTTGGGGTTTGATTTGAAATTCTTATCCTATCTCTTATTGACCTAAATAAATTCAAGGAATTAATGCCAAACCTGTAAATTTGATTCCATAAAACATGTATCAAATTTATTAACCCAAGTAGTTTCGAGTCATTTTTAATGTACGCGTTTTACGGTCTTTTTTAGTGGAACGTACCTTTGAGTTAAATTAAGAATTAAATCTCTGAATGAGGTCTAAAGCGTTTCAATTGATACCCAGAATGCAAATCAAGCAAAGCATTATTAAATTCAACATTAAATTTGCTAATAATCACCGATGAAGTAACAGAATTTATTGATATCTAAATTTTATACACCCAAAAAAACTATATAGCTCAATAAAAAGAATAGTGTAGTCACTTGCTCCTAGTGGCGCCAAGTAGAAAATATCTATCAGTGACCACTAAATGTGCCACAAGCTCTGGTTGGTTCATTCTGTTTGCTGTTTCAAAAAATTATCATTGGTGCAATTTAAATCATATTACCTTTTTTTGTAGGTGGGCCTTTAGAACTATGAAAACTCCATTGATATCTGGAAAATTAAAATCATCAAGAAGCATCTAAACTAATAACTGATTTGAGATCATTTGCTTTCAAATGAAATGAACTCTGTTGGTAAACAGATCAAAAATTTTTAACATGCTCGACATTAGTTAAATCATTCAAAGAGGATTTTTTATAAACTCAACCTAGTTGCTCAAGCTTTTTAAATCTTCAAGCTGAATATTTACTAAGAGTTTTCCCCACCGGGAACTCCTCAATCAAATGTTTTAATACATTCAACTCATTAACATCTGCAAACTCATCCACAACTTTTTGAGTACCCTTCGTACTAAAGCTAAGGTTAACGAGAAAAGCACTGTTTTCCCTGCGACATTTATAACAGAGTTCTAGACCAAATTCTTCCGACTCTGAAGTGCTATCCATCATCTTAGTCCTTAGTCCATCATATTAGTCCTCGTTAGCCATCTGCAGACACACCAAGTCGGCAAAGCAAAACTGAACTTAAATGAAATTTGATACTTATTAGTTAAATAATTATATTATGCGGTTTAAAATTTGAAAACTAAATT